CCCCGGACAGACCGTGGCTGTGGACGGGCAGGTCACCTGGGGAGTGGGGAGGACACGGAGGCGGGGTCCGCTCCTTGAGAGGGGTCGTTGGGAGCCACGAAACTGCCCCACAAGGAGGGCTGCCTGTGGCCTGGCGCCTCCTGCCTGGGGCTGGGCTCTGCTGGGTGGCAGGACAGGCCCTGCAGGCAGAACACCCTTCCAGGTGCCCACAGGCTGGGCAGCAGGGCCTGGCCTCCTGCTCTTGTTTTCCCAAAGGTCATTTTGCTATTAAAATGGACCTTCTGAGGGGCCAAGGTCACTTTCTGCTCAGGCGGCGATGAGAGGCCTGGAGGTCTGGGGGGCGGGGTGGGGGAGGGAGGCATCACTTCCCTTCAGCAGGACGAGGCGCGTGCTGACGGGGCTGCCCCTGCCGCGCTCTCCCTGCAGGTGACCAAGCTGGTGAAGAACTACAGGTCCCACGCGGCCCTGCTGGCCCTGCCCTCCCGGCTCTTCTACCACAAGGAGCTCGAGGTCTGTGCCGACCCCAAGGTGGTGACCTCCTTGCTGGGCTGGGAGAAGCTCCCCAAGAAAGGCTTCCCCCTCATCTTCCACGGCGTGCGGGTGAGTGTGTGCCCCCGATGTGAGGAGGAAGGGGCTCCGCTCGGCGAGCACAGGGACTGCGCGACCCTCAGTGCTGGGGGCACAGCGTGTCGGGTGCAGTAGCTCACCCCGAACCAGCTCCCACAGGTGCTCCGGCTGCATGGCCTGTGGGGCCCGTCGGAGCCCAGGCTGTGCCGACCGCTGGTCTGTGTGGAAACCAGCTTTGGACTCGCTCTGTTTCCTCCTGCTAGTTTTCTGCTTCGTTCACTTCAGCTTTCAGTCCATCCTTACCCTGAACTTCAGCTCGATGGCCCGCCCTGCCCCTCACTAGCCCCATGGTGGGCCCAGCTCTCTCCTCGTCTGTACAGGGAGGCAGGGCCTGGGCGCAGCTCTGCTCCGTACGGCTCCTGTGCCCCCTGGTCCTGGTGACTCCCCATTTTCTTTTCGATCGAGGCTCACAGAGACATGTTTTCCTTGACTTCCAAGGGGCTCGGAGTGCCGTGGTCGCCTCTTTTTATGCCGAGTTGCGTTGGTTCTGATGAAGGCCAGGCCTGTAGCCCCGGCTTTTACAGATCTGTGGCCCAATGGGACTGTTTTAGTAGATGTTCTAAGGACACACAAAAAGCTCACCTTCTCTGTTGAGGACATAAGTTTCACGTAGATTTTTTAAATTTACTTGTGGAGCCTGTCCGTCAGCTCCTCTGTGTCCTGACCTGGATCCTGTCTGCTCGGCCTCCCCCTGGCGGGGCCGTGACTGCCGCCCGAGGCTTCCACCCCAGATCCCCGCCGGCACCTGAGGCCTTGCCGCCTGTGCTCCCCGCTGCGCCGCGCCTGCAGTTTAGGTTGTGCCCTGTCCTGGTTTCCTTTCCGTCCCACCTGGTGAGACATCGACGCCCCTTCCCGGGTTCATCCCTCCTTCCTCGCTTCAGGGCTGCTTCTGAGCAGCTGCGGGCTTCACATGGCGCCCGTGTAAGAGCCTGTTGTTAGTGCGGACTCTGCCCCTCGTCTCCCTCATCTCTGCTGCGCGGCTGGTGCCCGTTGACTGGTGTTCCCTCCGAGGACAGCCCGCTCCTCTCACTGCTGGTTACCGACCTCTCTTCGTAGATCCAGGGACCAGTCAAGTCCCGCAGCGAAAACTCCTGGAAGTCAGTGCATTCTTCTTCTTTTTTAAAATATATTTTTATTGATTTCAGAGAGGAAGGAAGAGGGAGAGAGAGAGAAACATCAATGATGAGAGAATCATTGATTGGCTGCCTCCTGCACGTCCCCTACTGGGGATCAAGCCCGCAACCCAGGCATGTGCCCTTGACCAGAATCGAACCTGGGACCCTTCAGTCTGCAGGCCGACGCTCTATCCACTGAGCCAAACCAGCCAGGGCGAGTCAGTGCATTCTCACTGCTCTGTGTGCGCTGTTTCCGTTGTGGCGAAACACACCGTGTCCGGTCGGCTGCATTTGCCAGCAGGGCCCAGTCCGGGGGGTAGCACGGGCCCCTTGTGTCACAGTCAGTCAGAGCTCTCCATCTTCCCGGACGGACACTGTCCCACTGACCCTCCCCCCCACCCAACCCCGGTGCCCCCATCACCCCTGCGTCTGCTCCGAGCCCTCGGGGGGTCTCCCATCGTGTGCTCGGGCCGCGTGTGCTTCCCACGTTGCACGGGCGCTCAGGCTGCTCCCACATCTACTTGCCTGGGTCCCGGCGTTAATTCTGTTCTTGTGGGTGAATGCCCGGAGGTGAACGCCTGAGCCAGAGGGGAACTCTGCTTTCGGGTTCTGAGGGCCTGCACACCTTCTCCACGGCGGCTGCACCACCTCACGCTGGGCGCCAGGCACCGTGTCTGTCTTCAGTTGTGGCCGTCCTGGTGGGCGTGGGCGGGCCCTGAGGTTTGGGTTTGCATTTCCGTGATCTGCAGTGATGGCCTGTGTGCGCTGGTCATCCTCCTGTCTTCCCTGCAGGCCGGAGAGAGGAGGGCGCACCTTCCATAGGAGGGGGGCAGCCAGAGCAAGGGGTTGGGCCTGGCCTGGCCCAAGGGGCTCCCGCACTGACCACACTGGTCACTGCCACCTCAGCCATCCTGGCTCCCGGGCTCTGTTCCCCCCCGGCATGTGCCCCCCCCCCCCCGCCCCCGTCTCCGTCCTCACGTGACACTGCCCTCCTCACCCCCGTCCTTGGGCCTCACTGCAGCTGAGCTGGTTCCAGTTCCGTAGCCAGGCCCCTCACCTCTGCCTGTCCCAGCGCCTGCTCGGCTCCCCGTTCACGGCCCTTAACGAGTATAGCTGGTAAACGAGGCCTCGTGACGCCCTGTCTCTCTTGTCTCCCACCCTGACAGGGCAGCGAAGCGCGGGAAGGGAGGAGCCCGTCCTGGTTCAACCCGGCCGAGGCCGTGCAGGTCATGCGCTACAGCTGCCTCCTGGCCCGGAGCCTCTGCAGCCAGGTGTCCGCGCAGGACATCGGCGTGATCACGCCCTACCGCAAGCAGGTGGGCCCCGCTCCCGCCGCTCCGGTGCTTCCTGTTCGCGGAGGCCACACAAGTAACAGGACACGAGCTCATCGCGTGGCACCCACGGGGCTCCCCTGGCCTTCCACACCCGGGTCCTGGGGCTGGGTGTGCAGGCACCTGGGTGAGCCCGCCTCCATGCTCACCTGTCCCAGCGCGAAGTTGTCACCCCTGTACTCACTGTGCACGTCCTCCATCTGCCCTGGGCCCACCCTGGTCTCCCATCTCCCGTGTCTGCAAATCCCACCGTGCCCACACCTGCAGCTGCCTGAGTGGGGAAGAGGGGTTCCCCTGGGGTTGTCAGGGACTTGAGAATCTGTATTATAAAAGGCCTGTGGCTGGCGCGGGTGGGCGGGGCTGTGAGCGTGGTGAGGCACACACGGGTGGGCGGGGCCACTCGATTTCGTGCACTGTGCTTCTAGTCTTTTCATTTACTGGCCATAATGTTTCGTCAAAATTCCTGTTTAGCCTGGTCAGGTGGCTCAGTCAGACAGGGTCCTATCAACACAAGGGTCATAGGGTTGATTCCCAGTCAGGCGCATACCTAGGTTGCGGGTTCAATCCCTGGTTTGGGCACATACAGGAGGCAACTGATGTTTCTCCCTCTCCCTCTCTCCCCCTCCCTGCCTTTCCCCCCTCCCCTCTCCACCTTCTTCTCTCTCTAAAATCAATAAAACAGCCCGGCCGGTGTGGCTCAGTGGTTGAGCATCTATCTATGAACAAGGAGGTCACAGTTCTATTCTGGTCAGGGCACAGGCCTGGGTTGTGGGCTCGAGCCCCAGTATGGGGCGTGCAGGAGGCAGCCGATCTATTGTTTTCTCTCATCATTGATGTTTCTATCCCTCTCTCTCGTTCTCTGAAATCAATAAAAAATATATATTTATTTAAAAATAAATAGAACATATCCTCAGGTGAGGGTTTTTAAAACCCTGTTTGAATCCAGGGCCCCCTCTGTTGCTCTGAGGTGGTGTCTGCAGGTTGTGCTGACTCAGCATTATTTCTGCACCCGGGCCCTTGGTGGTCGAGTGTTCCAGACGCCGTCTCAGCCAGGCCTTGTCCCTGGTTCCCTCCGTGTGTGGGTGTGTGTGTTCTTTCCATGTAGTCACGTGCACATGGGACGTGTAAACCGTTCCCTTCGTGGTCTGTGCTGTTTGCTTTTTGTCTAAGAAACCCTTCCCTGTCGTGATGTGAGGTGTGTTTTCCCACTTTGTTCTGGAGGTTCAGCCCTCTGGGTTGTGTTGGGTGGTCATGGCAAGGATCTGTCTGACTTTGGTCTGTGTGGTGTGTGTCCCTGCTGCACACACGGCTCCCATGTGCACACCTGGGCTCCACCTCCCTCGTGGTCCCCCCGCCTCCCCCCGGGACTGCCAGCCTGGCTGCTGGGGCTCGGGCTGAGCTGACATCTGGGCTGAGTCCCTCACGGTGAGCTTTCAGACCTGCCCACCCCCGGTTCTTCCCTTGGTGCTCTTTCTGGTGAGTTTTAGAAATCCCACCTTTTATCAAAACACGTGTTTCTTGGAACAATTGGTCAACATGCCGATTGCTTTGGAGTTGGGTCGCTTACCTGTGCCGCCTGCACCACTGGTCTCTGCGCTTCTGTCTCCTGAGGTTTGTCTTCTCAGAGGCCGGTGCGTGGCAGACGCGGCACTGACCGCCTCAGCCTGACCTTAGTCCCCTGCCGGCAGGTGTGGGAAGGGCTGGCCTTTGTCCTGCAGCAGGTGCGCTGCCTGCTTTGTTTTCAGGAGCATCCTTTCCACCCGGGGAACACTCCCCTTATTCCCAATGGGGACAGTCTCACCACAGTGTCTGCGTGGCTCCTCCCCTGCGGGAACCTCTTGCCTGGCTCTCGGATGTCCCCTCCTGCTCTCTGACCCTCCCGGGCCTGCACCCTCAGCACCGTCCCCAGGGTCCTGGGGAGGAGTCGCCTACCATCGAGTTTTCTTTCAAATACTCGTTCTTCCAAGATTTCAAATTGGGCCTTTTTTTCCAACACCCATTGGAGACCTCGTCTCCAAACATCAGGAACCCACTTCGTCCCGAGTCTCACTGCTTGACTCGGCCGTTCCCGCTCCTGAGGGCGAGCTCGCCTTCTCCTGGCTCCGTGGCCACTCGTCACAGCGTTTGGCCTCCTGGCTGCCTGTGACGCTGCCACAGAGGAGGGCACGCCGCCTGTCTCCAGGCCACAGGTGTGGTGAAGGCTCAGGCCCGGGGAGGGCCCCACAGGGCGGCGCTGCCCTCACCTCCATAGGACGGGTGCTGAGCCAGCGCTGGAGTCGGGTTACATGCGACTGGGATTGAGAAGCAGCACTGCACGTTGTCGGTATTGACTTTTGCTGCAATGTGGGAGGAAATGGTCAGCTTTGTAAAATTTTATCTTTAATCTTTATCTGCTTCAAAGGTGGAGAAAATAAAAATTCTTTTGAGAAACGTGGATCTGATGGACATAAAGGTCGGATCAGTAGAGGAGTTCCAAGGGCAAGAGCATTTGGTGATCATCATCTCAACCGTAGGTGCCCTGTTCCTGGGGGACCCTAGAGAATCGGGAAAAGAACCACCATCACCCCGACTCCCTGAGTCACCCCGACACCCAGAGTCACCCCGACTCCCTGAGTCACCCGACACCCTGAGTCACCCCGACACCCAGAGTCACCCCGACTCCCTGGGTCACCCTGACACCCAGAGTCACCCCGACTCCCTGAGTCACCCCAACACTCTGCTGAGCCCATAGGGTTGGGCCCATGTTGTGCAGACAGAGGGCAGTGAGGCTCCTCCCCCACCCCGGCTGCTTTTTCCCTTTTTTTTTACCCTCATCCAAGGAGTGAGGATATTGGGATTTTTTAAAATACATATTTTATTGATTTTTTTACAGAGAGGAAGGGAGAGGGATAGAGAGTTAGATACATCGATGAGTAAGAAACATTGATCAGCTGCCTCCTGCACACTCCCTACTGGGGATGTGCCCGCAACCAAGGTACATGCCCTTGACCGGAATCGAACCCAGGACCCTTCAGTCCGCAGGCCGACGCTCTATCCACTGAGCCACACCAGGTAGGGCTTGGATATTTTTTTTCCCCTGGTTTTTTTTAGAGAATGAAAGGGAAGGGCCGGGGGGGGAGGGGGGACATTGATGTGACAGACACATCGATAGGTTGCCTCCCACCTGCACCCTGACCGGGGGTGGGGATCGGACCTGCAGCCCAAGTACATGCCCTTGACCAGAATCGAACCCGAGACCCTCCAGTGTGTAGGCCGATGCTCTAACCACTGAGCCATGTCAGCCAGGGCTGCTTTTTTCTCTTTTAACCAAAAATGTCCTACTGACGATGTTTCGTATTTTTAATGTTTTCATATGTCAAGAGTTCTTTCCACGCCGGAAAACTTGAAACACCTTTTTTCTCCGCCTTTGTGCTTCCAGGTGCGGTCGAACGAAGACCGGTTTGAAGATGATAGGTATTTCCTGGGTTTCTTGTCCAACTCAAAACGGTTCAATGTGGCTGTCACCAGGCCCAAAGCCTTGCTGATTGTGCTGGGAAACCCCTACGTCCTGGTCAGGGTGAGCTGCCGCCCTCAGGCAGGACTCCCCTGAGGAGGGGCCTGGGGAGCGGTGGGGGCTGTCCGCCCTGCCCACTCTAAGGCCCGCTCCTGTGTCCCCCCAGGACCCCTGCTTCGGCGCATTGCTGGAATACAGCATCACCAATGGCGCGTACACCGGGTGCGACCTGCCGCCCGAGCTGCGGCACCTGCAGGGGTGAGCCCCCGCCTCCCCGCCTCGCCCCTGCTCCTGCGCCTGCTCCAGGGCTGCGGCGGCGCTCTGTCTAGCAACGGACAGTTGGCATCACCCCTCCCTGCACAGCCTCCATAGACACGTCCTCCTCATAAAACCACACCATGAAGAGGCACCTGCCCAGCTCACCTCGGGGTCCTGAACCTGAGCCCTGCGGGGAGCCCGGCACACTGGCTGCCGCCTCCCACAGCTGAGCTGGGGCCGAGGTGTGCAGCCTCCCTGCTTAGAGGAGCCAGGAGCCCAGGAACAAGGGACCCGGGACCTTGCCTGGAGCCCCCCTGGTAGGGAGGGCAGGAGCCTCTGTCTGCTGTGGTCACTGGGCCACCTCCTGCTGTCTTGGCCACAAGCATGGGGGCCGCTGGGCAGGACGATGCCTGCCCGACCATCTGCCCTGCCCAGCCCCTTCCTGGCACTGTAGTCACCACACCACGGCCCATCACCAAAATAAACACTCGAGTGAGACCCCAGCGTGGCTTTCCACTCAGAGTGCACCAGGTCGGGGGACAGAGCCACGCCTTCCTCCCGGGTCCTCGAGCCAGTGCTCACGTCACCCACTGCCATGCGAAGCCGTGGGCACTGGGGGGCTCTGCCTGTGGCAGCCCCAGAGGTGGTGGTGGCCTGTGTGGCCCCTGCTCGCCCCTTGGCCAGGAGCTGCCCTCGGGTGCGGACGCTCGGGGACCGTTTCCAAGAGAGGCTGGGAGCATTCACACGTTGGGGGTGTCCCTCGTGAGCGGCACCAGGCCTGGGACCAGCACTCCGGGCCCAGGAAGGGTGTCAGACCCAAGTCTGGCCGTGCGTCCAGGGAGTAGCACAGAGGCTGGAGCTTGGGCCTGGCCTCAGGGCCGCCTATCGGGGGCAGAATCCCTGGACTGGGGGACCACCCGGTGGCACCTCGACAGCCATGCGATGGGACAATGAGGCCTGGCACCCTCTGCCCGTCACAGCCACGGTGTCCCGAGGTCTGACCTGGGGTGGGAGTGTACCCCAGGGGGTCTGCACCCACCATCCCTGGGGTGGGACAGGCACTGCTGGATGGACATGGCCCACTCGGCTTCCTTCCCAGGGTCGGGCTCCTCACCACACAGCTGCGTGCCGCCCACCTGGGGGCAGAGGTCACTACTGTCTGAACCGTGAGACCGGAGCACAGTGACCCCTCAGACCTGCAGCTCCCTCCCTCCCGTGGAGGGCTGTGGCCCCGCCTCCAGGAAGGCAGCTGGGACAGGAGCGGGAGGCCCAGGCAGAGGGAGTTGGATGGGATGCGGGGAGACAGCCTTTCAGAAGCTGCAGAGCCCACAGGACCTTCCTGAGGGTCCCACAAAGGATCCGGGCATAGAGGGCGTGGCAGGGCCAAAGCAGTGTCCACACCGGGTCCTGAGGCCGCCCAGGCCCCTAGTGCTCCCTGGGCACCCGGGAGGCCCAGGGCAGTGGCTGTGAACACGGGCACCATCTTCCTGGCTGACAGGTAGGGAACTGAGGTTCTGGTGGCCCAGCCAGGCCCACGCTGGCCTGAGCCTGAGGACCAGGCTCTGAAGACGCCCCACAAACGGCTGCCATGGGTGAGGAGGTTCTGGCCCCAGAAACGGTCCTGCTTGGCCACCTGTGTGGCTTCCCTGTCCCCCGTTTGCCTGGTTACCAGGTCACCTTGTGCCCTGACCACAGCATCTGCCACCACAGCCTCCTGCGACTGGGCCTGCGGGGCGAAGGGGGACCCCCAGGGCTGCCCAATGACGGGGCGACCCACCCCCCCACAGGCGCCCAGGTGCACAGGAAGGAGCTGTTTGGTGGGGAATGGGGCCCTGGACACCCACCACAGCCTGCGACTGGGCCTGCGGGGCGAAGGGGGACCCCCAGGGCTGCCCAATGACGGGGCGACCCACCCCCCCACAGGCGACCAGCAGGACAGGAAGGAGCTGTTTGGTGGGGAATGGGGCCCTGGACAC